TATGGGATTTAAATAAGCATGTATATAAAAAGGAAGAGAGCGACCCAAGACTTCAATAAGTCCAGGAAATAGTTCAGTGGCCACGGTGTGTAGTCAAAATAGCCAAAGTGTTTTGGGGGCTCAACATTTCCCCATTTATGAGGGCTCCTTTCAACAGTACAAAAGTTAAATCACCTCAGAGTGAAGGGCTCAATACCTATCCCCCTCCTTCATTAGGGCTCCTCAAAACAGTCAAAACGTTCTATCACCTCAGAGTGGGGGATCAACACCCTACCCCCCTTCATTATGAAGTGTTGAGCCCCTCACTCTGAGGTGATTGAACTTTTGGACTGTTGTGAGGAGCCATGATGAAGGGGGAGTGTTGAACCCCAAAACAAATTGACTGTTTTGACTACTTTCCGTAAACAAAAAACTCCTGTTGGATTTAATTGGATTTAGTAGAGTCTTCGGGTGCTCTTATCCTTTTTAATTACTGTGGTTACATCAAGCATCCTCTGGGAGACTTCGATTGACTGAGAGCTGCCTCAAAAAGTTAGACTTCCTCTTACTACTCACTTACCCATGAGGTCCAGCATTCCACAAACACATCTTCTTATACATATGGATGTAGAAGAATGCAAAACAGTAGGTACAGAGCTGTGTGTGGGCAATCATCTTAATAAAGCCACTGATACTGGAAGGCTTTTTCCCTGGTAATAGTGGTTTAAGGGAGAAGGTATGTAATCTTCAACTACAGTTTTGTATCAGATCTGAGGTTTGTGGTGCACCGGAAGACATTAGTAGTTAAGGTTTTTGAGGGGAACAGTGATGAGTCACTAATGTTGACCCATTGGAAGCATTGGTGCACACCGCCAACATGAATAGTCACATGATGCAACTGTTCACATTTTGGAGGATTAAGATACCTGAGGGTAGTTTGTTCATGTCTGCACGTTCTATTACCCTCTGATGTCTTTAAAGGCCTTAAAGCTAAATCTACTTTATAATAACCCCCTTCCTTCTTCCTTGGTTCTGGCTTTTTCGATGTTAAAAACTCCCCACCAATCTCATGACTGATGTGTGAGTAATCTCTTACAAGGAGCTCATGCTCCTTGCTGATTGGGGAGCTCTAGCTTTGACCAGGGTAGGGTGTATGCCAGCCCTTTGCAGAAAGACCACTGTTTCCACACATCCTTCTCTGCAGATCGCTTGCAGTGGACAGGCTTTTCTATGCCAGCAGTGGCTGCTCTGTAAAGAAAACAAACTATAAGACATTACACATCCTCTGTTTGGATGCAACTAATGTATTTAGTTCATTTAGTTGATTTACGCTGCAAGGAATAACTGCTCCTTGTTCTCTAGGGTACCAAATGAAGAAGAAATACTCACCCGATCCTCGGTGCTGTGGCAGTGACCACTCACTCGTTTTATTACCCTCCGCTCCGGCTGTGGTATGTCCCTCGGCGTCCTCACGTCTAATACACTGTATTAGATGTGATGACTAGGGATGCACCGATACAAATACTAGTATCGGTATCGGTGCCCATACTGAGTATTTGGATACTCATATTCGCCCAAATGCTCCAGATGCTTATCCCAATACCAGAATTTCCGGTATCAGGAAGCAGGGCAAAGAGTCATTATAGGCCGCCCATCTTCCTGATTGGCCATGGAGCCAGCTTTCAGGTCAATCAGGAAGCTGGGTGGCATGTAATGACTTGCCGTCCGGCTTCCTGGTTGTTTGGGAAGCTGGCCAATCAGGAAGCCGGACGGTGAGTCATTACCAGCTCCCCGGCATCCTGATTTGCCAAAAAGCCGCCTCCATGCTTCCTCATCACCTGGTGCTTCCCAGCTAATCAGGAAGGCGGGCAACAAGTCATTACACACCGCCTGGGTGTAATGGGACTTCTGGTATCAGTATTCGGCATGGGCGAGTGCCGAAAAAAATATCGGCATTTGTATGGGTGCATCCCTAGTGGTGACTCATGGATCCTAACACCGCCTGAGCCCAAGGGGGAGAGGCTGTGGGGACCAGTCTAGTGGCCAGGTCAGATTGATGATCCATTGAGTATTTCTTCTTTTTTCGGTTTCCTAGAGATAAACTATGCCAAGCAACTAAACGTTCCCATGCTCCTCCACCATTCTGTTGCTTTGCAGGCCTAACCTTGTGCAAGTTGTTGGATAGCGTTGGAGCTTATACAGGCTGATGTCTTAATTCTTTGGACATGACAGTATTCAGGCCTGGTGATTGGCTGTGGGGCTTGAGCACTGCATTCTGGGACAAGATCACATGCTTCCCTAGAACCAGATGTGTTTAGGTATCTGGCAGCGGCTGATCAGATTGGCAAGGGAGTGTGGGGAAGTTGAATATACTTGAGTCAGGTGGTGAGATTTAAAGACACCCTGTCACTTTGCCTTGCATGAACAAAGTGACAGGGTCTCTTTCTTTACCTGTTCTTGTTTCAACGCTCTCCGAAAAATTAACATGGAGCAAGCAATACAACTAATCGCTAGGATTTTAATCTAACAGTTCCCACATATAGACAGCACTACACATGGGTTTTATAGTCGCTGGAAAGCAGATTTTTAACCTTTTGTTGGCCTGTTTCTCATCTGAATTCGATGTGTTATCAACAAGAAGTTGACCGATCTAAAGTCACCTAAACCATAATCTGCATCAAAGTGGACCTGTCATGATAAATTATAAGCAAAAGACATTTTTCTGCAAAGTATGTAATGCCATCCTGTAAAAAGAAGCTTACAGATCGTCCTGTGGGTGGAAATAAAAATGTGATATAATAATTTGCAATATTTCATATTTACTTAAAAAAACACTTTAGCTAAAGAATTACGTAAACAGAAAATAAATACAAAAGACTATTATGAGGGGAATTTATCAATTCTAGAGCAGACAAAATCTGGACAATATCTGGAGCAGCTGTTTTTCAAATCATAGCTGAAAAAACTTAAGAGAGAAGCATATTGATTGCAGTGGGCAACTGCTCCACATTTTGTCTGCTCAATATATCAATATATTTTCTTTAAACTAATCTAGGGAGCGGAAATGTCTAATTAAACAATATGTTGCTCTTTGTTGCACAAGTATATATAAGTATAAATTGAAATAATCTGGACTTTACATAGCAATGTACTGTACATACTGTATATTAATATAACCCCATTGAGAGCTGGTAAGAAACATACTGTACATTTAATAGAAGTGTCTACAGCTGGCCACACACCTTACAACCATTGCAAGACTTTTGTCTTTGCGATGGTTGTAAGGTCATTAAAAAAACGTACGATCTGCCCATCTTGGACAGGCAGATCGTACTTGCGATAATCGCAAGCACGCCGCACTGAGGGGCGGGCTTCCGATGACCGAATAGCTGAACGGGCAGTGTGTGCTTGCGCACACCGGCCCGTGCGGCAATTATCTTACGAGCATGCCACAAACCAGCCAAAAATCGTTTCTCGGCTGGTTTTCAAACATGTTCGTAAGACAAAAGACGTGCGACCGTACAGTAGAAACGGTCGCACGCCTTCTTACACACATTGCGATTATCGTACGATCGCGGGATTTCCCGCGATTATCGTACGATAATCGTAAGATGTGTGGGCACCTTAACTGTAGAACCTTTAATGAGCCATTGTTCTTTAAAAAACACCAACAAGCTGTGTGATTATTAAGGGAAACTTGTATTGTCTGAGCGAAACATCAATATTAATAATGTGTTTGCCTCCCTCTCTCCCTTACTTCCTCCTTTCCCTTCCTTTCCTTCTCTTTGCCTTTGCTTCTTTCCCTCCGTTCTTTCACTCTTTTGCCTTCCTTTATTCCCTTCCTCCTTTCCTTCGTTTTCCTCCCTCATTTCCCTTCCTTTATTCCCTCCCTCCTTTCCCTCCCTCATTTCTCTTCCTTTATTCCCTTTCTCCTTTCCCTTCCTTCCCTCTTTCTTTTCCCTTCCTTTATTCCCTTCCTCTTTTCCTTTCTTTCCTTCCCTCCTTTTTTTCTTTCTTTCTTCCCATACTCTCCCCTTCCCTCGTTACTTGCCTTCTCTTTTCTCCCCCTTTCCTCCCTGCCTTACTCACTTATTCCCTTTCTCCCTTTGCTTTCCCCTTCCTTCCTTCCTTTCTTCCTCCCCCTTTCCTTTCCCTTAACCCTCTTTCCCTTTTTTTCCCTTCCTTCCTTCCTTCTTTCTCTATCTCCCTCCCTTACTCCCTTGTTCCCTTACTCACTCCTCTTTTTCCCTTTGATTTCTTTCTCCATTCTTCCTGCTTCCCTTTCCTTTCCCTCCCTCCCTTCTTCCTGTTTTCTTCTTCTTTCTTTCCGTCCCTCACTTTTTCTCTTTCTCCCTTTGCTTTCCCCTTCATTCCTTCCTTCCTTCCCTTTTTTCCATTCCCATGCACCCTCCTTTCCTTATTCCTTCTTTCTCTATCTCCCTCCATTACTCTCTCCTGCCCTTACTCCTTCCTTCTCTTTCTCCCTTTTTCTTTCTTTCTCCATTCTTCCTACTTCCCTTTCCTTTCCCTCCCTTTCTTATTCTCTTCCCATTTTCTCCTTCCTTCTTTCCCTCCCTACCTTATTTACTTCTTCTCTTTCTCCCTTTGCTTTTCCTTTCCTTCCTTCCTCCTTCCCTTTTTCTTACACCTCCCTTCCCTTTTTCCCTTCCTTCCTTCTTTCTCTATCTCCCTCCTTTATTCCGTCCTTCTCATTTTCCCTTTGATTTCTTTCGCATTTCTTCTTCCCTTTCTTTTCCTTCTCTCCCTTACCCTCTTCTTCCCATTTTCTCATTCCTTCTTTCACCTCCCTTCCTTTCTCCATCTTTCACTTTCCTTTCTTCCTTCTCTCTTCCACCCAACTCTTCTTCCCTCTTTCCTTCCTTATATGCTTTTTTTTTTATTATTATCTGTCATTCTTTTCCCACCATCCACTCTCCATTCTTCTCTCTTACTTTCTATATCTCCCTTTATATTTACTGTCCTTTTTCTTTCCCTTTATCTCCCCCTCCTCTATCTCTCTCTCGTTCCCTCTCTGCAGGCAGTCCAGGCTATGCAGCAGTTAATTCGTCCCATCTATGATATTCATTTTGCAAAGGAGGAGGATGGGAGCAGGATGGAACTGTCCCAGCGACTCAATGAGATCAGAACACACTATGAGGCTCTCATCATCAGGAGTCACATCCCCTGCGACCTCTCAGCCAGGAGCCAGGTAACTGTTTTAGCCAGCCGGGCACCTTCCAGGAAAGGGATGCAGAGTCATTGCAGCCTGTTTGTCTTGTGCTCCTGTGATTCCTTCAGTGCAGGGAATGCTGGGGAGGGAGCGCAACTAGCATTGCAGATGAACTGTAACTATAATGTATATATAGATGTGTGTGATGCTTACACAGCAGGATTCACCCAGCATGCTTTGCAATATTTATGATCAATAGCATTATCACCCATATAACCTTATTAATGTGCTGCTTTCATATTCATCTCCTGATGGAGATTTAGCTGAGGCCTTTGCATAAGGACTCCTGTTTAATAATGAATAACGTGAAATATAGGATTGAAGATATGATCCATTGTTAATTTGCTTTCATGGCCTATTGATAATGCATCTATTTCAGCTATAATTGAATGGGCTTTAGTTTCCCTAATGCATATTTCATTGAGCCCATAGCATCCCTTAAAGGACACCTGCATTAAGAGAAATATGCAGGCATGCATTGGTGATTTCTTTTTGAAAATCCCAGATGGCAGGCTGTCTTGTTTCAGTACTTTAAGTCTCTGGCCTCAAGCATGGAGCAACTAAAGTCAGCATTCATATTCCTACTTCTTCCATGTCACCGGATCAGAATGACAGCCAGGCAACTTATATTTTGCAGTAGCAGTTGCCTTTTTAAAGTAGAACTCCAGGGAATTATTTTTATTAACCCTTGCAGTGGGGCTACCCCCGCACTGCAAGGATTAACTGCTTGTTTTCATCTAGGGACGCTGTAGTTATGGTATGTCCCTCGGCGTCCTCTGTGTATTGGACATGATGACTGCAGGATCCTTCCACTGAGGGGGGGTGAGGCTAACTTTTTTTTATTTTAGTCCCTAGACAAAAGCCAGCATTTAACCCTTGCAGTGTGGGGGTCAGCCCCACTGCAAGGGTTAATAAAAAAATTCTGGAGTTGTTCTTTAATTCTTCTTATAAAACCTGTTTCCGTCGCATATATCGCATATATGCTGTAGCGCATGGACCCTAATCTGAGCCCACACATATAGTATATGTGTCAGCTGGCTGTACTATTCTGTGCCGAGAGCGTGCTCAATGGTATGCTACCGGCATAATGACTGAGCTGTCGCTGACAGCTCCCGGTCACCGTTTACGCTTGGGAGCCCTTGTAGTGGCTTCCCAATCATGTGACCGCTGTGACAGCCAATGACAGTGATCAGATGATCGAGAAGCTAGCCTCTGACTCCAGGTGTGAAGATCCTTTCAAAGATCTGTTGGGAGTCAACAGCAAAAGGTTAAATGGAGTTTATGGATATTTTTCCTTTTTTTTATTATTATTATTTATTTTTTTCACTTTATTAGTTATATAAATGTGGGCGGCCATATTTTTTAAGTGTATGTAAAGGCAACATTTGTTTTTGTTTCAAATAGAGTAGGGAAGGGTTGGACCCTTTGTCAATTTTTGTATTGCTGTCTGCGTTCCTGCTGGGGGGGATTCACCCACCTGGTGTCCATTGTCATAGAGATAGAAAGTGAGGATGAAATCTAAAAGTTCAGAGTTGTTCCCAGAGAAAAAGTTGAGGGGTAATCTTCCAAAGGAGACAACTCTCTACAACAGGGATTCCCTTATCTTTGGTGAGGTTTACTCTCATTTCCTGCAGAAGAGGAAGTGAAGGCAAACCTCCCCAGTCTGATGGACGCAGGCAAGAAAAAAAAAAAAAAAGAAAAAAAAAAAGCTGAGAGGGGGTTTAAAAAAAAAAGCGTGTTTTGGGGTTTACATACATTTTAATTACATATTATTCCTCAACTTTCAATGCAGTAGCAGCAAAGCTTGTTCAAGAACATATCCCCTAGTTTGTTGATTGGACAGTGAATGAGCAGAACGCTGGTGAGGTCATTCCTATGACATTCTGCTTTTTCCTCCCATCTGCCCATGTGCACTGAAGCAGAGCCTGATTTGCATCAAGTGATGGTCCCCCCTTTTCCAGGTGCGGCTGTACCCCAGATCACAGGGAAGTCATGTGTTTCCCTATAATTGAAAATACCAGTATTTTTAAATATTATTCACAAAAGTAAATGTGCTCCTAAGACCCCTGCAGTCCTCACCTCGAGCTCACAGATGCTCACTCCATCAGGCCTTATTGCTCCAACATATCATACAGCAAAGTTCTGGATGCTCACACCATTTCCTAAGGGGTTCGGCACAGATGCTCCACCCAGGATCCTCCCTCTGACATATTTTTTCCCCTACTGGGGCTTTATCAAAGAGCAAAGTGTTTTAAATCAGAAAGGCGCTACATATAAGCTGGCCATACACTTTGAAGGGAATTCATCAGGACTGGAGCAGAGAAAATCTGGAGCAGTTGTGCATGGCAACCAATGAGCTTCTCTCTTTCATTTTCAAATCATAACTGAACAAACTGAAAAGTGAAGCTGATTGGTTGCCCCTGGGTAATTGCTCCAGATTTTCTCTGCTCTAGGTTTGATAAATTCCCCTCTTTATATTTTTTCTTGTTCAGCCCTTCATGCTCGAAAATGCTTAAATCCCTAAGCAGGCTAAAGCGTGAATGGAGGGAATCTCCCCTGTCGTCTATTGTATTCTCACAGCCAGAACCAGCCGCTATCACAATACATGAAGCGTGGCTGCATCTGCAGTCACTGATCAGCCGGCACTATGTAGACCATTTATGTATAAATACATAAACGGTCCATTCAGCGAACTCCATGCAAAGTTTTTCACTTTAAGGCACAAGGGGGCATTCTCTGTGTCTAGAGGGTGTCTAGAGGAAAAGAGGTTTAACCTTAGTATCCGGGGAGGTTTCTTCACAGTAAGAGTTGTGAAAATATGGAATAGTCTTCCTCAGAAGCTAGCTCTAGCTAGCTTAAAAAAATCTGGATCAGAATATAACTTGATATTAACATTTTATAAGTAAAAACACCAGAGACTGTTGATCCGGAGAATATCTGATTACCGTAGGGGATCAGAAAGGAATTTATTTTCCCATTGGAGCAGTTTGGACCAAGCTTTATAAGAGGTTGTTTTGCCTTCCTCTGGATCAACTGTGCGTATAGGGTTAAGTTTATAGAGTTTTTTTCTATGGTTGAACTCAATTGACTTGTGTCTTTTTTTCAACCTAACTATGTAACTTTTGTCTAACAGAGGGTTCCGACAAGGAAAACTCTGCTGGAAATTAGAGCAATGTATGACCTACTATGGGCACAACGGGCTGTGGCACTAGCTCAGGCACCGAAGGGTGGTTGGCACACAACTGGGTATGAAAATGCCTTTTTATTTTAAAAGCAGGTTTGCTATGGGGACTTATAACAATATATCATTACTATATCATCTGTTTTTACATTTAATAGAGATGAGCATAAAGAATGCATGACCTTGCAGTAATATATCTCATTATGGCGTATTTAAAAACTAGAGGACCTGCTTACTTCTCTTATTACATACTGCAGTTTCATAGAAACAGTAATGGCATTGGTAGTATGTTATGTTTATTTGTTTTATATGATTTCGGGTTTTTTCCACTTTGACAGTGAGGTGGAAGATGGGGAGTTTATATGACCAGACTGTCCTTCCTTACAAAGGTGTCTTGTTGTCCATTGTAACCTGTCAGGGTCATGGTTGAATGTCATGGCCAAGACAGACACTTTTCCTAAAAAACCCTTTACAAAGTCAAACCAACCCAAAAGTGGCATTTAAGATTTCAGTAGATACCGGAGAGTTAAACCAACTAAATACTTTGCATATCTTTCAAAGACTTTATTTGTGAGATTTATTGTGTTAGAATGTCTGGCTCGGCACATCTGCTGTTGCCCGTTGAGGGGCTCCCACTCTGTATTTTGAAATGTGTATCTATTTTATATACTGGAGAATGTAACCGGAGATACTTGATCACACATAGGTGGGTGAGAACACCCAAAACGCACAGGTGGACAGGAACAGAGTACTATGTTTCACCCTTGAAGTATTCTAGACATATACGAAGCCAGGAGCTGATTCAGCCCACCGTTCCCCATCTACTGTATATCTAACATATCACATTCGGGTGGGCTGACACTTCAAAGAGACACATTTTACTTGCTGTTCTGTTTTTTAAAATATATTTTACATATACATTTGTAGATTATTTAATGACTACCTGTATGTAACCACAATTACATTCTTTAGTGAACAACAAAATACAGGATAAACCCATTACTAGAGACATATTGCCCTCAGTGAATCGGTAGGATTGAAAGGATTCATATGGCATGATTTACTAAAGCAAGAGATATGATGGAAGGTGGAGTACATTGAAAGTGTAGTTGTTTTAGTTGTCCAGTTATGTGCAGGTGAATATGTAAAAAAAAATCTCGTCTCTGGTACCATTGGATGTTTGAACCCAGTTTTGGTTGTTGCTCAAATCACACATGTACATGATGGATTCTAATTGCTTGCCTAGGGTTACCCTACTTAAAGCGGATCTTAGCTCACCTCCCCTTAATCCCTCCAGATCTTCTCTGGTGCTAGACATTCAGCCGTCTTGATACTAGGCCCATAGATTTAGGCTACTCCTAGAAAGGGGCAACTTTTTATCTGATTTGGTTAAGATTAGTCATAAGTAACTGGTTCATTTCTATGCGCAAAAATGTTTTTAGAAGACCAATAAACTACTTTTCCAAGTTGAGGGAATCTCGTAATCTGCAGAAATTAATAAGTGTTAAACTGCTACATCACATAGAACACACAACTAAAAAACCTGGCACAGGCAGTAAGGGAAAATACAATTCTCAAAACATAGACAGCATTAAAGTAGAACTGAAGCAAAAACCTTTTTTCATTTGAATAGCGTAAGGGAGGGTTATAACCACCCTGCTTTTTTTCCCATCTATGTCCCATTGGGGAGATTTCCATTCACTTCCTATCTGATAGCCACAACAGGAAGTTGGAGGAAGTCCCTCCACAGAGAGGGAAATCCCTGGTGGTCAGCAAGGTCACCAGAACTAATGTCCCCATTGGAAGACTTCCCTCTCTTTTGCAACATTTGAGATTTTCTTTAATTTTTACTGATAACGATCACCAAGACAAATAGAGAGGGTGAATCTCAGAGACACAGACAGCACTAAAAACCTGACGGGTGTTCCAATCCTTCTTCACCCTATCCAAAACTAAAAAAAACATTTTGACTTCAGTTGCACTTTAAGTTCCTGACAACACTTCTAACCCTTTTGCAAACTACCAAAAATAAAACAAAACATTTTGGCTGTTGCTAAAATCAGACAAGTATATGATGGATTCTAATTGCTTGCCTTGGGTTATTGTCCTCAAAATATTATTAATTTTGAGTGCTGTCAACCTAAGGGCAACCACATGGATAGTGTGGAAGTGCATGGTTTGGCATCAGCACACCTAGCTGCTTGTCCAAATCAATTTTAATGATCGTACAAAAAATGAGGGAGCTGGACCTGAACAAAATGACCTCTCTGTTGTCTAATTTCATATCTTATACCCTCTGCTGAGTTTAACTCTCATCCACCCTGACAGTACATAGATACTTGTAAAGTCAGGTGCATGGATTGGAGGTTGCTTGTATAATCATGAGCATTAATACCGCAAGGAAGCTTCTGATCAAGGGTTTAACTATAGCCACAGCAGACCATATGATTGCTACGAGGCCCAGAAGAATAGGGGGCCCATAACTTTCAGGTTAGATAGGAATGTATGCAGGTAGCAAAAGCACTTGGCAAATACCTTTGAAAAAAATATAAAGCTTGGAGATCTCTATATGATTACTATGAAATCATTCACAGATTTGTAACACTAGAGCAGACTTTCCCAACCAGGTTGCCGTGGCACCCTATGATGCCTTCTGGCTTAATCAGTGGGGCTCTGAAACTTCGGCCAGCACCATGGAAACAAATGACACTAATCCAGGAAGAGTGAGTTCCATTCAAAATAGATCTTCTTCTCTGTCAAGGCCTGCTTCGCCTCTCACCTTCTGCCATGCTGCCACAAGTGTGGCTCCTGATATTAAAGAGGGGGCTTTGATGTGAAAAGGGGGCTCCTGATATAAAGGGAGGACTTCTGATTTGAAGGGGGGCTTTTTAATGTGAAGGGGTGTTCTATCAAAGTTTGTGACTACGTTGGATTGTGTGACCGGTCACGTGGTCACACATTTTAACGTAATCTCAGCCAGTTTTACAGCAGTGGAATGTGTGACCGCCCAGTAGGTCAAGCATTCCAATGCTTTGTCAGCTGTTCCAGGGAAGATCTACATGACAGATCACATGTTCAGGAGAACCGATCTGCCATGGAACACATGATTGGTCCTCAAATGTCACTTCTATCCGACTTTGTGAGTGCGATCTCACATTCCACTGCACTCACAAAGTCGGATAGAAGTGACATTTGAGGACTGATCAGCTGTTCCAGGCATATGGGGCAATGCAGATCGGTTCTCCTGCACAAGTGCAGTGAGCCGATCTGCCCTGGAACAGCTGACAAAGCGTTGAAATGCTTGACCTAATGGGCGGTCGCACATTCCACCGCTGTAAAACTGGGGGGATTATGTTGGAATGTGTGACCATGGCACCGGTCACACATTCTAACGTAGTCACAAACTTTGATAGAACAAGGGGGGCTCCTGATGTGAAGGGGGGGTGCTGATGTCAAAGGAAGTGGGCTCTGGTGTGAAGGGAGAGCTCCTGATTTCAAGGAAGGACTGTAATGAGATGGGAGAACCTCATCATTTGTGTGTTTGTGAGCGGAGTCTGCGCTGAAAATCCATACCAGACCCCTATCTGGGTTAAGGGTCTGCTATGGATTTGGCGGGGGAAACACGTTGTGTTTTAGACTGGGGTGCCTCAAGACTTTGCGTATTTTTTTGTGAATGAAAAAAGGTTGAGAAATGTTGCACTAGAGGAATTGTTATAGGGCCCCTTCACACATTTTGTGGCCCTGCTTCTGATATGCCCTCTCATGTCATATAAACCTTGACCTTGCTTCCTAAAAAGCAGACCCTAATTTTCTGACCTGGGAAATAGAAGATACATTTCTGAACATTTGCCATATTATTTATATGAACTAATAAACCTTGGCAGACTTCAAAAGGCATCTCATCTATGAGAGTAAGAATATACCTGTCATCCATCACTGTCCAATTCTGCCTGTCAGATACAGTATTACTACTTGACCTATTGTACTGAAATATGATTAACATTATGAACATGTCACTTGATTTCTATCTAGCTGGAAGAGGAAGAGGCCAAGCAGAAGATGCAGAAGGACGAAGAGGAACTGAGGGCTGCAAGAGCCAATCTTCATGAAGCCAGGAAACAATATAAAAACCTACAGGCTGAGATTGAGTCCCTTCAAGCCATGGTAAATAATGTGAAGACCTACAATAATACAATGACACAGGAACTACAATGGGTTTTGGGTCCTCTTATATATTCTTCCTTTTTTATTTTCTTTATATTTGTTTTACCCCTTATCAGTTCCCTCAGAAAGCACTTGAAAACAACGGGTTCACTTTAATTCTGGCCCCACCAGCAGCTTTGACATTTCTTTCACTCTCCTGCCACACCATTCGGTCACCAACAGCAAAGAAAAGCCCTTTGTAAGTTAGAAGTAGCTGTAGTTGCACCTTCCACGGGGCTATGGATTCCCCATGCAGGCATCCTATTCTATGAACAGGTGCAGATCTTTTGGCTAGGATTACAACAATCAAGTAAAACGTTTTTGAATTAAGAATTATTTGTAAGTCCATTTCTATAGAAATCTTTACCCCTCCAGATTTAAGTAGAGTGCTCACCATATATTGTACAATATTTTGTTTTCCAGTATACGTAAGGCCCCTTCGGGTCATGACGTGTTGTCCATGTGAGAAGCCTATACCATACAACACACGACTGTCTCCTAGTTTGTGCCCAGAATTTTTTCTTTCTTAAAAGAAAACCTGAGGCTAACTTCACCAATAACTTCTAGGCGTACTGAACCTTTAATATTTGAACTAACTGAAATAGCAGTATCAGTCATTTTTATCAGTAATTTTTAAAGGAATTGAAAGTAATTCCAGAGACTAAATATGTTCAGAGGTTGAAGGATCTGTGATTTTCCACTAACCAGGCATTTAATGAGCTCGGTCAAAGGCGCCAAGGTAGAAACCATCTGGTCTCAGCTATGTTTGATCATTTCAAAGTGTTTTAAGCTACACATTGTCTGCAGGGATTCTACTTAAAAAACTGTAGATTTATCACATTTTACCAACTGCCAGGAGGAAACAAGCTGAAGAACATAAAAACCAGACATCGCCTTGTGAATGTGAAACATGGTTTAGTGGTTAATGGGAAATATATACCAGTATAAAAGAATGCAATATCAATGCAATATCAATTCAGTTATTTCATGCTGCTTTTTGTGTTCCATTGGCAACTGCAAGATGATTGCGCTAAACCTTTCTTCCAACCTCTCGATTATTGCATGTATTATTTTTAAAAGCAAGTATAAAAGAAAAGTAGTGGTGAAAGAAAGCACTGGGGGGTTTCACCAATAATTTTTTGTATCATAATTATTTGTTGTCCTTTTGCCAACATACTTTCTGCTAAAAGTTGTCCCTCTTTCTCATCCCTAAAAGCTGTGCATATGTGATAAATGACAACAATGCTCAAAATGGGTAGCATCACTTTTTGTAATTATCAAGACATGCATGGCCAACCTATGGCCTGCAGTCCACCTGAATTTACTGTACTGTACTCTTAAAGGCTGACTCAGAAATATTTTTAGACATGTGTAGTTGAAACTTTTTGTTTTGCTGTCTACAAGGAAAAACGGAAAACCTGGATTTAGAGATTTTTCCCACCACAGTGGGAGGCCTCTGCAGTAGATTGGAGAAGTTTGAACTTATGCCTGTGGCCTAAGCAAACATTTCATAGCAGTGTAATTTAGGATGGTCTTCAAAAGTCCAATCAAAGGAAGTGATGCCTCCAATTTTACTCATTGTTTGCAACATTCAAGTTGTTCCTGTGTTGTAGGCAGTAATAATAAACAACTTAGATAGTCAAAGGCACTTGTCGGAAATAGATTTTTGAAGCAGCTCAACAAGATATCAGGACAAAGAATGAGTTGTTGCAGAGCTAGCAGATATGTGTTCACGTTGCCTTTGGGAAAATATCTGCCCTCTATGGCCACCCTTGCATGGATATATTCAATAAAGCAGTGCAAGATCACTAAATCAATTGAACTTTGATTGGTTGATATAGGTTACCGCACTTTGCATTGATAGAGCACCATAATATTTAATGACCTGGTTTCAGCTACAGCAACAATGAATGTGGTGAATTACCAAAAACGTGTGAATGATGTTCAGTTACCATAACAATATTGACTGTAGATATTGCATGTTTTATACATTTGCTTTTTTTTTGTTATTCCTCAAGCAGAAATACTATTGTCCAATGTATTGAAAAAAGCCTTACCTAAAAAGTTAACACTGGATTTACTATTGTTGTTTTAAAGGAGAGAAGGCTGAAATTCACCCTGCATGCCACAGAACAGCAGCATCAAAAGCAGCTTGAAACATTGTCGGCCGTCATCGCTGACTTAGAACAGGAGCTTTGGGAAGTCAGAACTGGAGTTAGGACTCAGCTACAGAAACACCAGCTGCTTCTCAACACCAATATGAAGCTGGAGCAAGAAATCTCTGCATACCGCAACCTGCTGGAAAGGGAAGAAATCAGGTACCTCATGGAAACAAGAATCTATCAGTTATCGGGGGATTACAGAGATGGTGAAAAGCCCTGGATCCTACAATGAACACAGTGAAACAACAGGACAGCTTATATAAACAGTATACAGTAAAATGTAGAACTAGGGATAAGTAGTGGCACTCTCCATAACAACCAGTCAGATGTTTGCTGGAGTTTGTTAGCCCCGTTGTTCTTTCTTGTAGCTGATATTGAAGTCACATGCTACTGCTCTGGGACCCCAAAAGCAATTCCACAGACCCCGGTCAAGGTTCTCATTCAGTGGGTAAATAGACGGGAGGAATGGGCTGGGAGGCATTTGCCCCCTGAGCCAGTCCAAATTATATAAATTCTTCTGGTGGCCCAGAGTGAAGATCCTCCTCATTCAGATCTCAATCAGAGGCGGTCCTGTAGTCAGTGAAAACTGTTGGACATTCTATAGCTATCTGCTCCCTGTTAAGACCTGTGATTGCAGTGCCTGATAGACAGAAGTCTACCAGCATACATTTTTTGTGGGGGGTTCTGAGGAGTTATATGATGGAATACAAAAGCAATAGCATTAAAGGCAGCAAATACTTGAAGAATGTAAAATTGTGACATGAAAATGGTTGATGATGATATGGTATTTAGTAATTTATCTTGACGAGTACACAGCAGAAGTCATTTTGTTGAGCTTATAAAGTACAAATCATCTCCCCCTATCGTTTTAGCATTAATATGTATTATGGTTTATTAAAATAAACTACATCCTTTAAGACAACTCCCACCTTTCACCATGGCCACCAGTCATCACTTTGTGTGCTGCACTTTTAGCTAACTGGAAACCCCACCATGAAATGACGAGTTTGGTTTTTCTCCCAGGCAAAAAGTTCCCAGTCCTCCTACTTCTTTTAATAACACATTTGCTCTTTGTTCAAGAAGTCTGGTTCTGGTAATGTTGAGCATGGGGCTTTTGGTGCTGAGGCCATATAAAGACCTTATTGGTCCCCAAGTAAAAAATAATGTTTAAAAAATATATAATTAGATAAAAGCACCCACTACCTTAACTCTTCTCTAACACTGAACACTTAACCCCACACCTATAGAAAGTTTGCTTTGGCAACCATGCAGATCAAAGGTATAGGTTCACTTAAAGCTTTTTTAAACCTATCTTGTCACCTTTCTTTTGTCCTCAGGTTTTGCAGTGAATAGCTGGATCTTGCAGATCTGGTCATACGTGTGCAGAATCTGTCATCAGGGCTTGGCAAAGTGTTAGTTATTATTCACAGCTACGTTGACAAATAGATCTGTTGTCTCTCTAGGAACTCATTAACACTGGCTCCAGGAGCACTCATGTGTCTTCATCTGGACAAAATTATTATTATTGGTATTTATACAGCACCAACAGTTTAGGCAGAGCTTTACATAGTGCACATTCACATCAGTCCCTGCCCTCAAAGAGCTTTACAGTCTAAGGTCCCTATCTCACATAAAGTACATACAGGACTAATTTAGACAGGAGCCAGTTAACCTTCCAGCATGTCTTAAGAATGTGGGAGGAAACCGGAGTACGCGGAGGAAACCCACGCAAGCACAGGGAGAACATGCAAACTCCTTGGAGATAGTGATCTGGCCGGAATTCGAACCAGGGACCCCCAGGGCTGCAAGGCAGGAACGCTAACCACTTAATAGACTATGAAATGTGTTTTGAAGGAATAGATTCAAGGGCATGGAAATTGACAGCTATACCAAAATAGGAAAAAGAAAGGCACTTGAAATGGGTGCAGGACCTTTTGTCTGCTAAGGATGACCTTGCATGAACAGATTTAACCAAGAGAGATAGGTAGTGATCTGGTCCATACCACCACTCAGCATTACTACACATTACAAGCATCTCCACAAACCAGAATGTTAATTCCTTTTCTGACACTCTTTAGCCAAGAATCTCTTAAAACAAAAACAGCATCACAGAGGGAGTAATAGATTTTAGAGGGCCTTGGAGTCGGCAAGAGTTTCCAGTTCTCTCCGAGATGCTGCTTTTGTGGCCCGGAGCTTTCTGAATCAATTGACATGTTGGTGTCTACAGTCGTTTCCTGCCATTGGTATAGTACGTTTATATTTTAGTATACATCCCCTTTAAAACGTTTTTTCACTTCCTGTCCGAGAGACACATTAGCATCATACTTTAAAGCCCTCCAGATTTTTTTAATAAATAGGTTTGTCCACCATTTCTTGTATTAAAAAAGTAGTAAAAAGTAGTACTCACTCCACGTTAAGCACTACCTACATTCTCCATCATGTGCCACCAAATTTCTTCAGAGTTGAATAATGCTCACCATTTCCCGTGAGTCCAGGGCGTCATGGATACTCCCCCTTGGGGTGCATTATCATGCCGGGCTGGTCTTACAGAAGAATTCAAAGATCACATGAGCACTATTATCTGCAACATTCAGAACCATTCAGTGATGGAAGAATTAGGAAGTGAAATCATGTCACGTGACCAGAAAAAGGCAGCAGATAAAAGATTTCCATCCAAAAAAAAGTAAAAATAAGGTGGGGAGGGTGGGCCTTAAGACTGCACAAAAATGCATACTAGGACTTTCCTAATGTTTATGTAATATGAGGGTATGAACGCACGTATTAATCAACTGTTTTAATCCGAAGGTTATATGGCACTAAACAAACCCAGGAACCCAAATCTTCTGCAAGCAAAATATATTTTAACTTACCTTCAGGTGAGATTCTCATATAACAAATTTTTATAGGCATCTCAAATGATATTAGATATTAAATGTGTATTTGTGAGGCAGGATAAGAACCCTTGTCGGATTTATACTATGTGGGACACCATTAGAGAAATATACCCTCATTTCCTGTATTGCTAACCTTTTACCAGACAGGAAGTGAGCGCAATTCTCCAACACCAACATAGACAGAAAATGACTTTCTTTAGTAAAGTAGGGAAGGCTAGAACCCCTGTCAGATTTTTATTTCTGGCTATGTCTCTGTTGCAGATTTTCCCTTAAAGCGAACCTTTAACCCCTTTGACTAAAAATCACATAAGCGTGCAGCTCTGCATGCTGATATGAAGCAGCTCTGCATGCTGATATGAAATCATTCTACATTCATTAGTTAAATATGTTTTTATTTTACCTACAATTTCTTTGTTTCTCCTTCCTGGTTCACTTAGGCATTAGTGATGTAATTGTGACCAAACATTGCATCCTAAAAAGGTTACATCAGCAGAGCATTGCTGGGAAATCTCATCTGTAATCTCACGAGATTTCAGGGAAAGGCATTTTCCTCCTCTGAGATGATGTGCATGGTCCCATGTCCTGGTCACATGTGCCAGAAATCAAGAAAGTAATAGGAGAGCTAGTGATCTTCCCTTAGTAAACATGGCCACTGTCAGAAGACTGGGGAAGAAAATAAATAAGGTATGCAAAAAATACAAAGCCTGCGATTATCTAGGAGTATGTGTTTGTAGAATGTCATTACTAAACTTTTCTAAAGGTGTGTATATTGTTATTTTGAAAATATGGGTTTTTGCCCTTTCAAAGGAGGAAGTGGATGTTCTGGAAGTGTAAGTATTTCACAATCACAGCATTTTACACCTGACATGTCTATGTTATTATTAATCATCATACATAGAAGGATGCATAGGTAGAATTTGATTTTTTTAGTGTAGGTTTAGATCTGCTTTAATGGTCAATGATGGAAAATAAAAATTGTAAAACTTTCTTTGTTTAGGTTAAATATTACATATCGCTTATGACTAATAATTGTTAAAAAATAATTTTGCCCCCTCCTACCTGTTGGTTAGAGCTGTCCTTAATTCACACACAACCCAGCCTTGCCCTGCTGCAATCTACTGCTTTGCTGCCACAGCCTGGGACCTGCACCACCATCTTGGTCCTCCTCAGCTATTGAAAGATAGCTGCCTCTTATGAGTTTAGGCAACTGGACACTGGATGACATGCACCAGGTTTCCCCACTTCAGCTGTGTGTCTCTACTCCTGCAGCATCCTGGGATATGTGATTCGTTCGGATATCCCAGGCGGCTACAGGAGCAGGACACGTCATTCTTGCTTAGATGACAATGGCGGGGGGGGGGATTGCGACCAGAGAAAAACCAAAAACATAAGCAAGAAAAATTGGGAAAAGTCCAATTAACTTCACGGGGGAGTTTAGGGAGGAAAAGTTGTTTAGGGGATTGAAAGCCCACTTTAAGTAGTATTGGGCCAAAACATTTTGTGATTACAGAAAGAATTCAGAAGGGTTAGCAGCATCTTCAGCATCTGATTCTTCCAGATGTGTGCGATACTTGCATTCCCCACTGCAGGATGTGGTTCCGTCTGCCATGCCCTATAGGCATTAATGCTGCTTGGTAGAGATGGCATGGCCTACACTAGAACAGAGAGCACTTAAGAACTCTCCCTGCAGTTCTGCTTTAAAGGAACCAATGCTATGTCTATGGAGGATAACTCAACAGGTTCCTTACTTGCCACTGTCCCCAGCAGTATACAATCGTCTTCCCCTGTCAGTTTGGCCACCAAGAGCAAAAAGATATATCTACAACTAGGTATATGGAGCATGTGACTCACTCCCCTTCCCTCTAAAGGCATCCATAGCTACAAAAACATAGCAATAATTTGTTGAAAAAAAGGGCATTTATGTGACAGATTGCTAAATGTCTGATGTTTATATTGCCGTAGGATCTGTAGAAAAAAATGTGGAGGTCTGTACGGAAGCTGCAAAAAAACAGCTGCTATTCAATGGTAATATAGCAGAAGAAGGTGCGGAGGCAAGCGGTACAGTACAGTAAGTATTGCAAGCTATAAAATAAGCAATGATTAAGGAAAGCATTCGTGGGCACTTTGGCTCTGGGTTCAGATCAAGTAATGGTAAGCAGTGTTTAGTTGGCAAGCCATACTCGTGTGTTAAAGCTGCGTTGTGCTATGTTGGTTTGCTGTAAGCCTCTCAACTTCATTCACTCCCATCAACTGGATACACTGGATTAAAAGTGTATGTATAGCAATTTTGGATAGAGTAGGTAAGGACCGGAATGCCTGTTTTTTGCTATATATAACCAAAAGGTGAGCCAAACAGGTGTTTCTAAGAGTCCAAATGATTTTTATTTAATTCCTGACAACAGGAAAATACTGGCAGCCAAAGTGTTTCGGGGCCAAAAAATCCTTCTTCATCAGGGCTTTTATTCTTGAAGTTTAGAGCTCTTTTTCAAAAACATTGACAGCTTGTTTTCTCTGATACCCACACTACTGCATTCCGGGCAGCTGCAGCACACCTAGTCCAGCCTCCTTAAAGGGGGAACAGCTCTGGTTTGGGTATCAGAGAAACCAAAGCTGTCAAAGTTTGTTTGGCCACAGAAACACATTAGATGCCAGTATTTTCCTGTTGTCACTAGGGGAATTAAATAGATATTGTTTGGACTCTTAGAACATCAGTTTGGTGCTTCTCTTGGTTTATATGCTTATAGATTTCCCATCTCAAGTGAGCCTCAGCCTCTAGTGAGATCCCTGCTTTGTGGAGAGCCGCCAAACACTAGCTGTCCATTGAGAACTTTGAGTTTGAAATTGAGTGTTCTCATTATTTTGGAGATCCATATTTAGTGGCTCTCTTTCATTTCCCCCTAAAGTTTTTTGTTGCTGCCTGTTCTCCAATATGTAGCCCCATCCTCTATCTCTTTAAGTCCTGGTGGCCATTGTTACTAAGAAAAAAGATGATGGGAATCTGACATTTTAGAGTTGAGACCAAAAAAAGGAGTTGGGAGTAAACCTACTTCTTCACACTTCCTATTGCTTCTCCAGGACAGTAAGCAAACAGGACACAGACAGCAAAAAAAAACACATCTACAGGGCATTTGCCCACTCCCTACTCTATCCCCCCCCCCCCCCCCCCAAAAAAAAGGGCTTGGCTGCACAAATATTTGCAGAGCCATTCATAGTTACATAGTCAGCCAGGTTGAAAAAAGACACAAGCCCATCGAGCTCAACTTATAAAGATAAGAGAAAAAAAAATCAGAAAAACCTAAAACAGAACACTATGCCCACAGTTACCCCCCATTGATCCAAAGGAAGGCAAAAAAAAAACCAAATAAAGCATGGTTCAACAGGTGAAAAACATTCCTTCCTGATCCCATAAGACAATCAGATATTCCCTGGATTAACAATCTCTGATGCTTATTATACTTTGTAAGAAGTCAATATCTCAGGGTTATTCACTAAGCTGCTGAAGGCAGCCGAGTTCATAACCGACCCGAATTGAAGGGAGCCAAAGCATGTTCAGCTATTCACTTCAGCTGTGCCTCAGGAGGTAACAAACAGAATGAAAAAGTCAGTGTAAATAAAAGAAAAAACAAAACGGTGTGGGGTTCCCCCTAAAATTCCCAACCAGACCCTTAATCCAAACACGGGCCTGGCAGGGCAGGAAAGGGGGGGGAGACAAGAAAGCGCCGTGCCCAACCCCCCCCCCCCCC